ATAATAATAATAATAATAAAAACAGTAATCATAGTAATCATAATAATAAAAAAAAACAATGGACAAAAATAAAAGCTAATAATAATCACCATCAATAAAGACTTTTGGTAGACGAATAAACATCACACACACTCTCCGCTTGCACAGCTAACTGAAAAGAAAAGACACACACAGCACGTGACTGAGGGGAAAACAGGACGTTGAGACGTTTTTTTTTCCTCCAACAAATACTGTCTGCTAATAAAGATACAGCTCCTCCTCCACGACGACTAGTGACGGGTCCAGAGTGAGAAAGTATATTGCAAAGTTGACAGAGAACATTAAAAAAAAAAAAAACATACAAAAGGCAAAAGAAGTGTGTCTTTTCCTAAGTACACAATAATTCAACATTTTTGCTAAAACAAAATACAGACTACATGTGTAAAAATCATAAATAAGGATAAAGTTTTGTGCATCCCCGCCCCAACCAACCGTTGTCTTGGAAGAAAAAAACAAACAAAAAACAAAACAATGGCAGTTTACAACGGTGACAATAACATGCAATTGATATACTTTACAGCATTGATCTCCCCTAAAACTACAAACCCAAAGTCTAACCCCCGTCCCTCCCCGACCCCAATACAATCCTTAAATATTTGTCAGCTCATTCCAAACATATCTCTTGCTCTCTCTGTTCTCTGTGAACTAGCTGAAGGCGGTGACGTTAATCACACTGGGAGGGGAGGGGGGGCATGAAAAAGAAAAAACACACACTGTCGCTAACTCCAGTTTATCCGTAAATCTGTGTATGTACAGGAGGCTTTTTTTTCCCATTGAAGCAAGCTGACATGGTTTGAATGACTGCATAGTGAAAATGATATTTGGTTTACTTACAGATGGGTTTACGACACACACACACACACACACACACAGTCGGACACACACACACACACACACTCGGACACACACTCCCCCTCGGTGTCAAGGCACAGCGCAGGTATACACGCTATGAACTAGCTGTTTTATACACCCCTGGCCTCACACCTGACAAGCTTATATACACATGAAGCCACTATTGGCAGTAGCAAGCATTGCTGTGTAGAATGAGTTAACTTTATACATTTGGGGGTGTGTGCGTGGATTAGTAATCACACTCGACAGTCATGATCTGATTGGTTTCACAGAAGGTGTAGCGTGGCGCTGTCACCCAATCAGGTGTCTGGATGAAAAGCACGGACGAGCGAGTGTGTGGGTGTGTAAAATACACATCAGCTTAATGACGGAGAAGCTCGACAGTGGGAGACTGGGTCCAGCTTGGCGTTTTTTGGACACGAGTTACACAAACAGTTTGAACAGTGAACGTTGTAGTGAGTGTTTTTGCACTGCACCAATGAGTGCACCTCAGGCTGGGCTGGCAGTGCAGTACAGCGGATGGATACTAAGCACCAGATTCAGGTCTATATACAACAGGGACGCTGAGCAGGTCTGTCATGATCAGCCCTAAATCCTGTCAAGTGTCCCCGTTTGCTGTTGGAAGCTAAATCAGTTCCAGGTCACACCCTGGTCCTCAGATTAAAACCCAACAAAGGCTGAACTAACAAACGGAGTTGTGCCGGCTCACCGTCACATCTGCCCGGGGGCCTGTATCACTGGGAGTCATGGACTATCTTTGGGCCTCACTCAGGTTGTCTGGTATCACAAAGCTGGCGCACTTTTAACCGGGGCAGATCACCATGGTAACCAATGCTGCAGGGCTAACGGAGCAGGTTACCTTCAGAGGATCTGATCTAAACCAACAGCCCACCTACTGACCAATCAGATCACTGGAAACATGGAGTCTAGTTTACTCATCACGAGGAGGAGTAACACTCCTACAATACAATTAAAAACAGTCTTCTGTGGTACTGGAGGAAGCTTTTGAAAAATACAGCTCTAATGATCTATGTTTATTATTTTCATGGGGGATAAAGTGGAGCTAGACCATTATATGTATATGCTGGCTGATAAGTAATAAGACATTACAGTTCGGGATTCACGATAATTATCGGGGCCGAAACATGATCAGCAATGATTACATTAAATACATATTTACATTACAGCAGCCAACATTTGATTGGCTCGTGATTAAGAACTCTTTTATGTGAACACACTCGTAGCTGGATTGGAAGCCAGTTGATAACCAGCTGTGTGATACCAGTTATCCAGGATCGCTATTGTCCAGTGGCTCAGTGAAAGCCAGACAGCCCACAGAGAGCCGGACTAAGTTGGACTTACTGCCTGACACAGGCCCACAGAGAACTGATACACTGAGTACAAGCATGAGCCGGCTGGTTTTATTGCTCGGCCCTCGCCTCGTGTTAGTTTAACAGTCTCCCCCTGTACAGTATATGACACACACACAGCACTGCTATACTACAGCCCCCCCCTCCCACTAGCTATAGAGAGATTTCATATATGTCATAGCTGAGAGTAATCAATTATAATGTCAATAACAATAGTCATAACAATAACAACACCCTTTCGTATTTTTCGTTGAGTTGTGGACACCTTTGGTGTGAACTGTCAAGGTTGTCAAGCTTGCAGGCGACCTGTGGACAGATGGAGGGGATGGATGGACAGAGTAAAGGATGGATGTGACAAAAAGCATCTGGACAGACAGACATTACCTCTAATCAGATCTACACTGTACAGAGTTTAGTGTGACGGGATATAAATGATGAACTACTTCCATAGAGCTACACTTGAGGTGAGGTGTGTGTTTATATTTTGTGTGAGTTAGTACTTTTTGTGAAGCCGATCTCTCCCTGCACTCGCTCTCCTAATCCATCTCACCCTCTCTCACTTGCTTTTGCCCTCGTCAGACTTGCTCTTCTGTATTTGGTAACATGTGTTGAAATTGCATTATTTCACTTATTTGGCTTAAAAGAAAAAGAGTAAAGTATTTGTCCTTTGGGGAAAAGAAGTGACAGCAGCGTCTAAAGCAATAAAAAAACAAAGTAGCAGCAGTAGCAATGTAAATAAATAACATTGTTTGAACAGAACAGTAAACATCATAAACACAACACGCTAAGTCACTCGCTAAAATCATAATTGGTAGGTTGGTGTAACACCTTGAAAGCTTTTTACAATAACCAGCTAGCCTCAGAGCTCGGCAGTCCTGTTTCCTTTCTGTTTTTCTCCTTTTTTCTCTCCACAATTACTTCCGGTCATCCAGTTTGTCTCTGACTTTTCTTCAACTTCCCATCTCACTTTCTCAACACTCCCTGTCTTCCTTCTCACCTCACTCCATCCTCCTCTCTATCGTTTTCCTGTCGTTTCATTTTCACTCATCTATCCTGCCATCTTGAAAACATTCCTACACATCTCTCTCTCTCGGACACTTAGCGGTTTCCTCTCTATCGTTGCCAGTCCTCGGTTCTCTGTGTCTAGCAGTGATTTGGTTTGGTGCGTGACGGGGCGTGGGAGTCTGCACATCTAGCAGGCTTTGGCTGTGGCCCTGGCCCTGCATGAGGGGAGGCAGTGGGACTCTAGACAGTCAGTCTCTGTAGACCTGCGCTCATTAAGTACATCTATACATCGCAATTTCAAACACATTGGCCAGACTGACACACTGAGTTTTATCTCAACAATCCTCTAGTTCAGGGGTCTCAAAGTCAGGCTACCTGGGGCCATTGGACAGGTTGTTTTCTCCCAGTGGGGCCACATAAACACTTTAAAAGAAACAAAACATTGCTTCAGATTGTATTTCTAGAGAATGGCAGCTTTGTCCTTCCAGATTTTTACCCAATTAATGTGAGTTTTGATATTAAACAGAATATCATTAGGCTTTGGACTGTGCGTCCAGAACAAAATCAATTATATCCCTTTCATATCCTTTGCAGTCTGGAAATTTTACATTTTATAGACAGAATGATTAATTGAAAATAATTATTAAGATATATATATAATACTGAAAAAATAAATGTTTACTTTGAAATAGGCCTAAAAGAAAACAACAAAAAAAACAAAAATCTGATTTGTGAGGCTGATTTAACCATCAACAATCAGATCTGGCCCCTGGGCTGCTAGAGACCCCCGCTCCTGGTTTTATAAAAACACAAAATCTTGAATCATCAAGACTCGTCTGGGTGGTTTCATAATGTCTGAAATTTTTGCAGTAGCCGGTCGAAATCTCTTGGCCTCCACCAACAACAACCTACACGCAGCCTTTGGTCTGGTAACACTGTGGAGCACTACATCACACTAAACAGCAGAGGCAGACAGAGAGGCGGACAGAGAGGCGGACAGAGAGGTGGACAGAGAGGAAGAGGTAGACAAACAGAGAGTAAAGGAGGAGTAAAGAAATGCTCCACAGGTAATAAGATCTACCCCATTTATATTCTTTGTACACGATAAACTCCTGTTCTTTGCGTTCTCAATGAAAAAACCTCCAAACTCTCTCTTGTTTCTCACACTAGTAACAGCTATTCAATCTTCCAAATGATCATCAGCTCCCCTCTTCTTCTACTTTCTTTGCTTTTCTCTCACACACATCTACAAAGTCGGACACTCCTCCTTTCAAACTAATCTTTTAACATCCCTCCATCTCTTGTAACACTCTTTCAGTTCACCTAAAAGTCATTCTGAATACACAAAACCCATAAATGTCTCCTCTTCTACAAAGCTAGAATGCAACACTAATTTTTTTGTAATTCTTTTTCATTGTGTTTTTTTCCAATTATGTAGCTGCTAAATACAACGATGGGTGCTCTAAACATATTTTATATCAAAGTTAATAAGGATTACTATCCTTATGTTAAAAATGAAGCACAGCCAACAGATTAATTCATTCTTCTCTGTGTGTTACAGCTGTAGTGCCAAGGTGATTAAATGACTAGGAAATATAATATCACTTTAAAA